CGAAAGGCCACATCCTCCCAGTAGTTCCAGAGACCAGCCTGCCAAGCGTACAGAATGAATCGATCCAGCTCCAAGGCAAAGCTCGCGTTCCTTCGCATGGGAATCGCGTTGAAGAGCCCGCCGAAGCACACACTGGACAAGCGGAAATAGGGCTGGATGAGGACGCGCTGTTGGCGGTTAAAGAACTTCCAGGTATCCTGGGTTACCACATAGGCATAGGAGCGCGAAGGACTCGCCAGCAGAGCCTGATAGTCCTGTCAGCTGCGCGAAGCGAGCTGTGGCTCCAGCGGGGAAGTGTCTACAATTGGGAGCGAGCGCAGCTCCTCCAGCAACGTCTCCGGCAGAATGATGGGCAGTCGTGAGAAAATCAGATCCGACCATGTGTCGATTGGACGGGTAAACACCGGCTTCATATCGAAAGCAGTCATGTGGCTGGAGTGGTAATTGGTGATAATGAAGCCGAGCATGAAGAGCATCGTGTAGAACAAATTCACGCGCAATGTGGCCTGGCTCAACCTTAGATTCATGTTCATGTTGGGGCTGAACATCAGGATGGCCATGGCCTGGAGCATGTTCCTGGTGAAAGAACGGGTCGCCTGCGCCGGTTCGCGCCAGTGCAAATACTTGAGCAGTAAGGCCACGTAGAATATGCCAAGAAACAGGGTGGTCCAGATGTATCTACCCAGGGGCCAGACCACGTACATCCACTTCGGCAGCTCCGGGTCCAGCGGCACCATCACACAGCTCATCATCATCTCCAACGGGTAGCTGTATCGCACTTCCTCCACAAACTGATCTTCATCCATGGGCCTGATGAGTACACCGTGCAGCGAAAGGTTGTATTGCCCATTGACAATATCCTCCTCCACCACAGACTTCTTGGGCAAGCTCTCCATATCGTCCAGCAGCAGTCGATAGCGAAACGCCTCGGCAAAGTGCATTGCCATCTCCATGTAGGGCCCACAAAACAGCTGCTCCGACGAGTCGCTTTCATTGTAAACGAACGCGTGAGGTATGTCGAAGCTGTATGGCGACAGGATATTGCCAGTAGCCTGGTCCGTATCCATCAGCATTTTGCTGCCGACTATACAGTTTGTCGTGCAACAGACCATATTTATAGCTAATGGTGTAAGTTAGCAACGACCATAGCCTGAGATAGCAAAAAACGTGTCCATGCAGTCGACAGACATACTGGTAGTGGCTCTAAAATTTGCTATCTGTGAGCTGAGGGGCTGGAAAGACTCCTAATCCTAAGTTCATCAGTGATTGCTGAATGTCACAGAGTTTAATGGCACGTTTTTTGTGTCATATCGATGTTTAAATAGAGTACGAATATGTATGTAAAAACGCCATAACGCTATGACATGACCGAACTGAATACTGTGAAGCTATATGCCAATTTTCACCAATGTGTGTAGTTAAAAGCACAGTCGAGACTTTGTTATGTGGTCGTCCGGTCCAGAGCCCAAACATCCGACCCTTTGCGCACTTATTGGAGCGCGAGTGCTTTCCCACTCATATTTAATAAAAAAGCGGTCAGCTTTTTTCACATTTGAAAGAGCAGTTCATGAAAAATACGTGCAAAAAATCCCCTGTGTATTCTGTCTTTGTCTGGGCAATTTTCAGTTTCCATGTAAATACTTTTCCATTTTTTGCGTTTTTTTTTTTTGCGGTAGAAAACCGAAATCACGAGCTCAGCCTTTATTCATCTATCCCACCCAACCCCCTCCCTTTCATGAGAAAAAACTCGCGTTTTCAAATAGCTTAAAAATAAACACAAAAAATAAAAAGTCCCATTGAAATAATATTGTGCTTATGGTTAATTACAAAATCGTTAAATGCTAAATTCTATGAAACTGGATTGTTCAAGTTTCGGTTGGAGAGATTCGGTTATTGCCAATCCAAACTTGGCAATGGGGATGTCGAATGAGGGAAAGTTCAGAGAGTTGATGGGGATATGGATATGTACTGCACGCAAGCTTACTTTGCATTTATTAATTGGACCATGCAAAAAAGGACTGCCGGGGAGTTCAACAAGTATTGATTGAAACTGAAGCGTTTATATAAAAAAATCGTATTTATGATTATCACTTAAACATAAGGAGAACATAAGATTTTCCCCATAAGCGTTTACATATGTACTACATACATATGTTATCGGCTAGGGGTAGCAATTTTTGATAAGCGCCGCTTTGGAAATACTAGTTTTATTTATATTTATATATGTATCAAATAACCTGGAGGGAAAGCCATCAACACACACATCAACAACATTAAACCCCCATTAATAAACCTAGTAATTTTTTGCTTTGTTTTGAAGAAATAATATTTTTGTTCTGGGACCACAATAAATATGGATGCGTTAATTGAAATTTCACTTGCACATGTCCCTACGGATTAAAGCCGCCATATTTGCATAGATACATAAATATGAATAAAGAACACAGACTAGACTGCCTAGGTTAGCTGATGATGGATCAGAGATATGTACATATGTACATGTACATATCTATACATCTGTACACAAAATATGCAGGGTGAAATCCAATAAATTCATTATTTCAGTTTCGGGTGCTCTAAAAGTTATTCATTGTTATTTTTAGAACTTTTTACTTTCGGAAACCCAGTCTCCTGTCTGCCTTTCATGCACTGAGTTCGATTCTGTTCTCCGAGAACCCACTGACAGCAGCAGCAACAATAACAGCAACGAAACAGAGCTGAGAGCAAAACGATTTTAAATGCTTAGCTAAGCAACGGTACCGGTCCCACCCATTTCTACCCCACCCCACCTACCTACCTTGCCTTGGCGGCAAACCATTGCAAACGCAAATTAATTTATGATCCAAAAGCTTGTCTATCGGTCTTTCGGCCTTGTGTCGGCCTCTGGCTCTGTCTTTGTGGTCAGGTTGGTGGGGTTTGGTTGGACTTTCACTGGTTGCTATTGCTCTTGTGATTGGTGTTTTAAGAGGAGTAGTTGCTCCACAAACATTTTGGAGAGAAAGAACTGCAAGTAAGTGGTGGCCGCCGCTCTATATTGCTCTTGTGCGCTACTTGCAACGCTAGTTTCAAGTGTCTTCGTAGCCGTGATCGTCTAGTGGTTAGGACCCCACGTTGTGGCCGTGGTAACCCAGGTTCGAATCCTGGTCACGGCAATGCTGCAATTACGCATTGTCACGGAGGAGGCATATTTTTTTTTATTTTTATTTTATTTGTATTAATACATAAATATAGTTTGTCAATCGCTCACTTGTTTTCCATTTAGCTGTTATGCGTTTTGTTTGCTATATTAGTAGCGACCAAGGAATGTAACACCTGTGCCTTGGCTGCTTTTAGTCCTTTGTTGCGGCAATTCCCCGTGGCTTGCCACTCCAACGGCGGCTGGCATTGACTGGAATTTTAATTTAATTGTGAGCAATTGACAGAAATACACAAAATCTACTTCGGAGTGTCGACCAAACGATATTAAGACGCCAGCAGCTGGTGTTGACATAAAAACGCAATAAAAAATACGTCCCCAAAACGAAACGAAACGAGTAAGATCGCATAGTCAATGGAAAGTCGAAGCTCGAATGCCCTTTTGTAGGGAATGCCCTACAATATTTAAGGTAACTACAAAATATGTATACTTAATATTCACTTCTGACTTTACCAGAGTTGGCTGTGAATATTTTAATGATAACTCGCGATTGTCCACAGCTCTTGGAATAAAAGGGTATCGTCGGAAAAATCACTCAAAATCAATTGAATGTGGCTGCGGTGTTTGGCTGTGGCAATGAGGAAAATCAACGTGAAAATATCGACGACAATGCGTTTTGTTGGCTCTGTGCAGCCACAGCTTATTGGATTTTGGCCGTGAGAAGCTGTTGACAACATTTGATAGTCAATATTGGAGCAGGGGGCTACGGCTTCCGACAGCGACAGTTAGGATGAGGGCGCATTGATTAAACACAGAGACATAAGCCTCTATAATTGTCCGCAAGTCCTGCGGTTGAAAGCCTTGTCCTTCCATCGCACGCCCTATTGAAATTCAACATTTGCGTAAATAAATCGCACATGGGACACAATTATGTATATTATTTACAAAATACAACATACAAGAGTACAATGGCCATTTCCAGGCCGTTTCATTGAAAATAAAGTAAAAATAAAAATATTAACCGCAAAAGCGTTGCTCCCATCTGCCAGTTTGCCCCTTGGCTCCAGCCTTATTTTGGATGTGGCTGTGTGTGCAGTCGCCTGAATTTATGCATTTATAGTCGTTCATCTGTGGATGTGTGCACGACGTACATACATATGTATGCATATTGAATGGATAAAAGGGATTTGCGATTATTTCGTCCTGGTTCTGGCCCGGGTACTCGCTTGACTGTGCGTGGGACCGCCGTCTACCACCCCAATGGGAAGAGCAACACGCCGGAAGCATTTTTGTTGTGCCATTTCCATTGTTATACATTTTCGTTTTACACATTCGCAGCAATAACAGACACAACCAACCCCATTCCATTTGTATATTTCATAAACAAGAGCAGATAGGCTTTCAGACGATGTTTCCCCAAATAATTGGCACTTTACAATAACTTTAGTTTGGCAAGGCTTCGCAAACATCATTGCTTACCTTACCATAACATGCCCACTCACAAAATACAATTCTAATGCAATTAGAATCAAACCGACAATTGAATGCAGCGGTCGTTAGCAAAGATGCGAACCTTTGGCTTTTAGCGAAACTCGAAACCAATATATGTATATCGATAACTTTCACAGTGGGGCAAGAATGCCAAAAAAAACCACTCTACATTCCAATATTTCTCGGCTTATTGATTTAAATATGATTATATGTATGCCATTTTACTTTCTGTATCCAAAAAATATTCCCACTCTATTCTTCGAGTAGCGCAAACCTTTTATAGATGTAGACAACGACGCTGCGACAACTGACAACGGGAAATGGTCACTTAAGTTAATTGGTTAAAATATCAAAGACAGTGAAAGAAGAAAAGTTACACATAATCCGTTTACTCATTCCACAATTTGAATACATCTGGTTAGCTACAAATTAAATATGTAATTCATAAAATGGCTACGTATGCTAGTACACGATTCAGTGACAAGTAGTTTCAATTATTAGTGCAATTGTACGTGTCCTCGAGGCGGTGGCAGCGACGTCGTTTTGTGGAACGACCACAAGTTGATAACGGTGGCGGGCACCCAATAAATTAAAATAAACTAAAAACTATATAATAAACAAACATTAGCACGTGCACGCAGAAATGAGATTGATGGCTGGGAGCAGTGACTACTGCGACTTCTTGGACTCCAGAGGAGACGTTGTCTTCTTGGCAGGTTCCGGCAACCGCTCCATAGCCTGCTTGTATAGCTGGTTCAGTCCAAATGTGGCACGTACATTGTCGCTGGAGAAGAAGAACTTCTGCAGCTTGCCCTTGTTATCCACGCAGGGCCGACGGTCCACTTCTTTGCCCTGCTGGAACAACACAACTGTGGGCAACTGGCGGGAGAAGCTGCTGTCCGAAATGCGATACTTCTGCGCCACATCCGGAAAACGGCCGATGTCAATTTTTCCAAATCGAAGATGCTCAGCGTTATACTCGTGGGAGAGTTCGGCAAACACGGGCGCGAAGTGGACACAGCTCGGATTCCAAACGGTGTAGAAGCAAATCAACCAACTGGTGCGCTTGTCCCGCACCAGCTCCTCCTCAAACACCTGGGAATTGCGGAAGTAGGTTATGTGCTCGGGCCCCCGGTACGACGGCTCCGGCAGAACCATGCCCACCAGCACGCACATCAGAAGGAAGCCCAGGCCAAAGCGAAAGTCGGCGTAGCCCCAGAGTATGGCATTGGCCACCTTTGTGTAGAGGAACGACGACGACAGATAGTTAATCATGGTGACGCTGCCGGTTTTGCGCGACCTTATCATAACGACGATAAGTAAAAAGAATAGTATTTCTGCCTCGCGGCTGTCGAGATCGCAGACATCGTCCTCTTCTCCAAGGTTGAAGATGCGGGTGCATATAAACTTTGTCTTCTTGGCCAGCAAATACGAAAGGGCCATCAATATATTCACCCAGTAGTAGGGCATTGCGAGAGTTGCCATCTGCTTTTTCCACGTCATGGTTTAGTCTGTGCTTGCCTTGGCCGATGTAGGTTATGGTTTTAATTAACAATTTCCCGTGTTTTTCTTTTTTCTCAATTTCAGCAGAGTGTTGTTAATTTTAGCAATTTTAGTGATACCCTTCAGAAATATACCGAAAAACACCTCATGTTACAAAAGTACTGTAAATATACCGAGAAAAACCGTACTTGGCCCACTGATATGGCGCCAAGCAGTTGTCGATAACTTGACAATTCAAATCAAATGTTCAGCTGTTATTCTGCTTGAAATTGTTACGTCAGATTTTTGCAAATGTCATTGACGGCGTGTTGAACTTTGCTGAGAAGGTCCCTCTCTCTCAGAGAATCAAAGATGATTGGGTATATTCATTATCAGAACACACGCCAGCCGAATTCAAAAGTAAAAATTTTAATCAGTATAACTGACTGGCTCTACGAGATCATAGACAGACGCTCTTGGCTGCATACACTCTCATTATCAGTTAAATATGTTTATTTTTCGGGCCTCCTTTTTTTGTTTTTTTGTCTAAAAATACCAAAAAGCGTGTTTGAAATGATTGCATGAATTAGGAACACACATTACAGAGTATCGCTTGAGCTATCTGCATCTTGACTTGCTGGGAACATTGTGCAAAGATTAACTTTAATAGTAAACACATTGCGCGTCACTCAATTAAATGATTTGTATGTATGATTGTATTCTTGTGGTCGCGGGGTCATGGAGATCGGATCACCCACCTACATACTATGTGCCCATACACTGGTTTTACTGGTCGTCATTCTATATTATTGTTTACTGATTATCTATACATTTTCGAGTTTATTAAAAAGACTTGGTAAAACCCTGCGAATACCCGCATACCCCCCTAAAAAGTCTGTAAAATATTATTTCAGAACAAATTACATATGAAAGGTGCACACGCACCGAGTAGAGGAGGTTTTATAATATATGGATTCTTATTGTCAACAATATAATTATTTTACTACAAATATAAATAAACAACCTGTACTTAGGTCAGTTTTTAATACTATCAGAATCATCCCAGACAAATACATAAATAGTATATGTATTTACGTATGGTATACATATATTTGAATGTGACTTAAACCGGTTTTAACTGCCTTATAATTGAGCTTTCGAACCATACATTAATGTATCTTCAAGGTCAGCTAAATTAACTAATCCTTGCTTCTTCTTAGATCGGCCCTGGATTCGCATAAAAACCGTTATCCGATTAACGAAATATCTGAAATATCTGATGCCGAATCAGGGCCTCTTTCTTTGTGACACATGTATTCGCTGATGCCTCGAAACATGCCTGGGAGCCTCAATACTAGTAGTCAAAACAAAACGAAAACAAGAGCAAATGCAGCTGATAATGTTCCAAAAACAAAATGGCGATCGATCGCCTGCCGGTGCTATCAAAGCAACGTGATCTCCCGTCTCTCTAACGGGTCCACATTTCGCTTATCGCCACAGAAGCCTCGGCTCCGATTGAGAAGGTCTGAACACGCGGTCTATAAATTGCAATGGATTCGAAGCGGCAAACTCAGTTCAGTTCTGAACCTTGTGCAGTGCGTGAGCTAATGAAAATTTTCGTTGATTATCGAGAAAAACCAATTAAACATTTTTGGCATTAAATGCCCTGTGGACTGAAACCAGTTGTGCTAATAAATTGAATTTAATTGGCTTAAGAAAGCAAATTTATATTCATTAAAAAAAACTCTTGGAAATATTTCGGCAAAGCGAAATATTCCCGTTTACCCAATTCGCCGCGGAATTTGATTTTTGTCTTTGAATGCTGCTGCAGCAGACCGAAAATTCCAACAAATTCAATCAGCACTTCGCAGAGTGCTGGAATCAGTTAAGCACCCAGAGAAGATCCGACATATTATCCGTTCTCAACACCATATCTTTCAGCGGTTAGTAGCCCCTAGGACACCCAGAACTCCTTTTCTCAATGCATCTGAACACGTATTTCGTATCCCCACAGCTGCTAAGATGGCCATGCCTCAGGGTGCTTTTGCCGCTTGCAAGATTCGCCAGCAATTCAACGAACGCGACATGATCGTCGCCCGCATGAGATCTGGGACAGATAAGAATTCAGTTGACAACAACTCATTTCGTAAGTACAAGGCCAATGGGCATTTAACTCTCTCTGACTGACGGCTCCCTGCTTCCAGAACGGGAATACTCTCCTGTCAAGTATAACGACAAGCTAATGAACTCCATTTGGGGCCTGTACAACCGTTACTCGCCGCACAACGTCAAGAAGAACGAGTACGCCCCCACCAAGTAGCACCCTATCTAAGGCGCAGCAGCTTTGCTTATAAGGAAGCTGCTGTGCCGTGTCGTTGTCCATACCCCTTCTAGGGCATGGGCCGACCAAATTATATATACTCAACTATATATACACACATACTTATATAACCCACCCCCCCTTAACCAGCGCATGAAAAATGAACAAAAAAAAAAGAGGTAATCCTTGGTAACAAATTTGAATTTAATTAATCACATCTACTTTGATGCTGTAATATATAAATTACAATAAATACTTATGATGAAAAAAGAGCAAAGCATAAAAGCGGTTTTCAATTTAAATAGCACGACTCGTAAGTCGGCACCATATACTTGATATTGATGAAGGCATCCTCGCCGCCATGGAGTTCCAGCACCTGGAGCGTCTCATCGATCAGATCGCCAAGGTTGAGATTGTTCTTTTGGGCATAGTCGATCTCGTCGCCACAGTTTACTGCAGGGAAATTGTAAAAGCTTTAAATATTAAGCACACACCGTAAGGGAAGAGCATCAGAATCAGAGGCACTTACAGTTTTTCACTTTGAAAGCGTTAAACATTGGCAGCAATTGTCTGTAGAAGGGCACCAGTGCCGGACCCACCTGATCCGAGGACATCACCAGTTGTTGTATTATCTTCAGTGTCGTGCACATTACCTCCAAATTTCGTGTGCTCAATGCGTCTAAAATGGTGATGAAAAGAACAGAGCAGAAGGAGAAGGTTCGGTGAACGACTGAGGTGCAAATCAAACGGAAAAAGTTCGAGGCATTTGCGTGCCAGGCAAATCCAGTTTTCCGTCGCGCCAGGTACTCACTCTTCAGGGGCAATATTAATTGCGGTATTACGGTGTGTATTTTCTCTCCGCCCGCAAGCAGTAGATCCGTCACTCCCTGGCGGGCATAGGTCTTGTACGGATGCTTCGTCTCGGCCAAACCATCGAAAAAGAGCGGCAGATAAAGACTGTAGTCCAGCTTGTCAATGTCCACCTAAGGGGTTATTTACCAGAACATCGTTTAGTTTTGAATTGATTCGAAGTGGATAGATGGAAAAGGGTTCAAGCCTTCAAGCCGAAGTTCGGCAGTTCCCTGGGCAAGTGTAAATGTGCACGCTATGCCTATTACGGTTTTTTGTTTTCTGATTTCTATTAAGATGACGTTTCTTTGTTTACTTTACAAATGGAAATTTTTTTAAATAAATTGCAAAATGGAAATATACCTTGTCTAATCTTAACGTATATATGTACATACATATATGTAGCATCATTTTTATTTTTTCAACGTAAATATATCTGTACCGCTGTAAGTATGTCTTTTTGGCATGGAGACTAGCCCTGAAATTAAATTTTTGATGAAGACTTTTGGGGGATGGGGAGTGGAGTGCTATCAATTCCCATTATAGCTGCGTGAACTCCTTTGTTTTGACCTTCAACCCAAATGACGCAAATAATATAATGCCAATCACACATCACTCATATGCACTGAGCCGCCGTCACGGAGGCATTTTGGCCTGGATAAACAAACGCACCACTTAGAAGCGAATCCATGTTATATCTCTAACCCAAAAGACACCCAAGGCCTGTGACATTGAAACAACAAGAAAGGGTCACGTCACACACATGAAATGTGGATCCTCCACCTACAACTACACCTACATATGTACATAATATATACACACTAGCATTTTCTGCCGGGCTGACTGATTGACACTTGGACGGCGCGACGTTTTGAATGTCAGCAGTCTGAATCCGGCCGGAATCGTTCGCTCCTTCCCGGCCGTCGTCTGTACGACTGTTCTACTGACTCCGGAAATAGACAATGGCATATTATTTGCACACTGCTGTTCTTAGCTGCAGTTTTAGCTTACACTTGAAATACTCGTAATTGGACACGCAAATATACGGAATTAAGGCGAAACCAAAATACGGGCTAGGTCACTGAGTTACATGCAATTTGATGGTTAGAAAACAAATAAGAGTATCCCTCCCAGCTTCAGTGTTTCCATATTTAGATGCAACCAAATTCCCTTATATATTATATCGTACTCGTTTATGTACTCACCGTCCATCCAATCTTATCGCCACCACAGAGATACTCCATTTTGATGGGTAAGTCACCACGATCGAAGTACATTCGAAACAGAGTGCCTCGCCCAGAGTCGGTACCGGGCAGGCAGGCATTGAAGCCCATTCCCAGATTGAATGTGGAAATGGATTTTTGCTGCTTTTTCAGGCCTAAACAACAATAAGGTGTCATTAGGAAAACAAACAACAAATAAGCAACGGATGGTGTAGACTCCAGACGACAGGACTACGCACATTTCGGATTTGGGGCCCGCCCCCTGGCACTTGCCGTTTTCGCGGCGGTTTCGTGTATGGGCCCGTTGATGACAACGGTATTTTTCTGCTGCGACTGTATGGAAAACGGCGGCACATAACGGGGTCGCACCGCTGCCCCGTGGATGCCACTAAGTGGACGTAATTGCGGTGGATTAGCCGACTTGGAGCGATGCTTCAGCGATATGGAGGTGGCATGGTAGTCGTGCGACGGTCGCGTTCCGCAGGCGTGGGCAGTAGATATGCGTGCCGTTTGAGCCATTTGCCGTAGAACTTCGCCCGCGTAGTGAGAACAACAAACTGAGCGAAGGAATTTTCTAGCCACCAGTAGGTGGCGGCTCCTGGTCTTTTGTGTTGCTGTTGGGTGTCGTTTCTATGGAGCGCGTTGCTAGGGTACCCCAAAAGGCATACCGACTGATAAGGAAATGCCAATGTATCATATAATGCTGCCCACTGTAGTCTCGTCACTTCTCTTGCAGCAACAATGCAGCGCTATAGTGCTGTATGGCATATCAATGCAAAACCTTAGCCCAGAGGACGCCTATTACTTTTATATGTGTGGTTTCATTTTATATTATTTTTTATACGATACCAGTAATCTCTTCATACAGATGTACGCTTCAGGTCAGTGAACCTGGATGTAGCCGGGCATGAGTTGAATCAGAATTTCCTGAAATATTTAGTACTTATTTTCAATAAACATCCAATAAATATGTATACATACTTTATTAGGTTAGGTTAATACATACATACTTATGTATGTATATATGTATATATTTCACTAATTTATTAAATTTCAAAATATTGATTGATTCATTTAGTGGATAAAATAATATTTTAAGTGCTGAATGTCCTAGCTAGCTAGGAATATTAAACGGAATATCAAAATCAAGGAAAGCAATTTCCGAACAAAAAGAACGTAGAACACTGTCGACCAGGGATATTCAAAACTTCCCACGAAAATTATAAACCTGAAGAATTTAAGCGCAGTTAAAGTAAATGACAGTGGTAAGTAAAGAGAATCTACAAGGAACATGTACAAACAATATTATTTTCCGCGGTGCTCAACTTTTTAAATAGAGGGGTGTTAAGTGGGTTAAGTTCAAATTGACCGCCAAACTCAATTTAGCGCACCAAAAATACTGACATTTTTCGCTCTCAATTCGTGGAGAGTTTGCAAAATTTGCTCTCAATTCGTGGAGAGTTTGCAAAATTTGCTCTCAATTCGTGGAGAGTGCTCTCTTTTCAGTGGAGAATAGAGTGTTTTTGTGGAGACTTTCCCCTCATTTTCGTGGTGTGGCAGCATGTTGCTGAAATTTTTCCCATACAAAATCAAATGTATCTTACGGGAACGCGTATGGAATAAAGATTCATTGTTGCGTCATTCCATACGCGTTCCCGTATGATACATTTGATTTGTATGGGAAAAATTTCAGCAACATGGGAAAATGATTTAGCAGCATTGTTGTGCAACTTTGGCACGGAATGAGCAACAATCTGCATACCTTGGGAAAATGGATATTATGGACTTGAGATATTGTTTGTAATTTCAGGCTCCAAGTAATGCAGAAACTACTCAGTCTCTTATTAAAAGACATCAACGAAATTTTGTAGCTCATGGGTACCAATAATAGGTATCAGAACCGGGATAAATGTATATATAAAACACAAAACATATGCATTAATATGTAAAAAACATGTCAATCTAGGATAAAATCATAAATAATGTTTCAATGGAGCTTGGAACAAAACATTTAACACCAATTAAAAGAAATAAGGTATACAAAAGTACATACGCATAGAAGATACTTGGTTGACCAGCAACACTGACGTCACATTTAGTCAACATTTAAGTTTTATGCTTTGGCCGTTTTTGTTTGAACCTTAATATGTAAACAATCCAATGAAAAAGAGTTCTAAAAACTAACCAATCCTGAACAAAATTTATGTATCTATCGGATAAAATTATTTGTTTAGGGCTGAGAGGGCCAACTATCTAGTAATATTAAACTGAATATCAAAATTGACGAATTTCATATCACAAAATATCACGGTATGGCAGCCCGCAGCAACTACGAATTGCACGAGTCTGGCAACGCCACAAAACGACGACAAATTCGTTTTATGCTGTTTTTGTTTGAACCTTAATATGTAAACAATCCAATAAAAACGACTTCTGAAAACTTGCCAATTTCCAAAAAAATTTATGTATCTATCGGCTAAAATTATTTGTTTAGGGCTGAGAGTCCCAGCTAGCTGGTAATATTAAACGGAATATCAATATCGAGGAATATCAACGTCGAATGTTTTGAAAAAACAATCGATACTATCGTGATAGTATCGGGCTAAAATAATTATTAAAAAACCATTGAAACCTTTTGCCCATTGTAAAAATTAGATGCCACCTGTCGATTTTTTTACAAATTTGTCTTCGTATTTTATAGCAGCCAATCCAAACATATCAAAAGCGCAACGACTGTAGCTCGATACTATCATGATAGTCCCAAAACTGTCGATAGTAGAGACTAGCAGTAAAATATCGATACTATCGATATAGCCCTCGATGGTTTGACACCTCTATAAAGAACAAATGTGAAAAAATGTCGCTTTAAATTGGCAATTATCTTTGTATTTAAGTGCTAAAATAGATATATACGCGCAGATATTGTGCTTGTACTGAAGTACATAATGGCCGGTCACATGTCTTCCAATTCGAATGGAGAGTTGAAGAAACTTTCGGAGGAGAGTTTACTGCAACCGCCGGAAAAGGTGTTCGACATTATGTACAAACTGGGCGAGGGAAGTTATGGCTCCGTCTACAAGGCCCTCCACAAGGAAAGCTGCTCCATTGTGGCCATTAAGCTGGTGCCGGTGGAGTCCGACCTGCACGAGATCATCAAGGAGATATCAATTATGCAACAGTGCGATTCTCCGTATGTGGTACGTTATTACGGATCGTACTTTAAGCAGTATGACCTGTGGATATGCATGGAATACTGTGGGGCGGGCAGCGTTTCCGACATAATGCGCCTACGCAAGAAAACGCTGACAGAGGACGAGATAGCCACCATTATGTCGGACACGCTGAAAGGACTGGTCTATCTGCATTTGCGCCGTAAAATACATCGAGACATCAAGGCTGCCAACATACTGCTCAACACGGAAGGCTATGCCAAGCTAGCCGACTTTGGTGTGGCTGGCCAGCTCACAGACACGATGGCCAAGCGAAACACGGTCATAGGAACTCCCTTCTGGATGGCGCCCGAAGTTATTGAGGAGATTGGCTACGATTGTGTAGCGGATATTTGGTCCCTTGGCATCACAGCCCTTGAAATGGCAGAGGGAAAGCCCCCCTACGGTGATATACATCCCATGCGGGCTATTTTTATGATACCTCAAAAGCCACCGCCCTCGTTTCGGGAACCAGATAGATGGAGCACTGAATTTATTGACTTTGTGAGCAAGTGCTTGGTGAAGGCTCCCGATGAGCGGGCCACAGCTACAGAGCTACTGGAGCATGAGTTCATACGCAATGCCAAGCACCGTACCATATTGAAGAACATGCTGGAGGAGACCTGTGCCATTCGAGAACAACAGCGGGCCAATCGGGCTGCTGGCGGAGTGTTGGCCTCTAGTCAGGCCAAGAGTCTTGCCACCCAGGAGAACAGTATGCTACAACACATGCAGGAGGAAGAAACCGAGTTCAATGGCACAGGGAAGACCTTCATTGATGATCCTGGCACGCTGGTGCCTGAAAAGTTCGGTGAATATCAGCAAAGCTCGGCTTCGGATGCAACTATGATAGCGCATCCGGAACCAGATATTGACGAAGGCACCTTGGGACCGGGTGGCATCCGAGGTTTGAGCAGGGCAGCGGCAATAACGGGAGCCGGCGTGACTGCTGCGTCTGCTTCATCTCCACTGGATGTACCAGCAGTCGATAGTGGTACCATGGTGGAGCTGGAGTCAAACTTGGGTAAGGAAAACCTAAAACAAACAGAAAGGAGAATGTTGTAATAGTATTTGAATGCGTTTCAGGCACAATGGTTATCAACTCTGACTCTGACGACTCGACAACGGCTAAGCGCAACGACGATCAGAAGCCTCGAAACCGGTATCGTCCTCAGTTCCTGGAGCATTTCGAACGTAAAAATGCTGGCGATGCACGTGGCGATGACAAGGCGACGGCTACAGAGTATTCCCCAGCGGCAGCCGAGCAGCAGCAGCAACAACAGGAGGAGCAGCATCTGGCCAGTGGAGCCAACGACGTAAGCAACTGGGAGCACAACATGGAAATGCAGTTCAAGCAGATTTCGGCAATCAATCAGTACGGGCTACAGCAGCACCAGCAGCAACAGCATGTACTCATGGCCTATCCACTGATGAATGATCAGCTCATTGCCATCAACAATCAACAGAATCTTCTGCGCAGCAATGCCACGCCTCTGGCTCAGCAGGGACACCCGGCTGTGGCTCCAGCTCAACCGCCGCCCGCATATCAGAACCAACATATGCACTCGCAATCGCACGCATATGTGGAGGGCGAATTTGAGTTCCTTAAGTTTCTTACCTTCGACGATCTGAATCAGCGTCTTAGCAACATTGACCATGAAATGGAGCTGGAGATTGAGCAGTTGAACAAGAAATACAATGCCAAACGGCAGCCCATAGTGGATGCCATGAATGCAAAGCGCAAACGCCAGCAGAATATCAATAATAATCTGATTAAGATATAGAAATAGCGACTCACAAGTTTGCAAGGCAACTGAAAATAGAATTTCAACTCACCAGAGACCCTTTGCGTTTGGTTGAGTTCAAAGGAAGTGCGTTCGAGTTGCAGAAGCTAGTTCTTTCTCATCCAGAAATGTTTCTTCATCTCGCGCATCTTCCATATTGATCATTCAATCCAGTGTAAAGGGTTCGAAAAAAACGCAAGAAATGAAAACACAAAAGCTTTATTGTAAAATGCAGTGAAAACAGGAATGAAATGTGGTTATAAACGTCGTCGGCAAAACATACAAACATACCTACATATATTAAATAACGTACGAAAACTTTTTCCTCCCTTTTTGATTTTAATTTTGTTCGATCGCATGTTTTGTTTTGTTTCGTTTCATATTTTATATATTTTTGAATTGTATCAATCTTCCAACGAAGACATTCTCGAATCAACAAGATATTTTAGCATCTCGCAGCTGCCTGCCTCCAAATTGATAAGACTACGTAAAATGTTCTTCCCGGTTAACTATTAACCCTAATCTCTTACTATATTTCCTACTTTTATTTGTGTCTTCGTGCGAATACCAACACACAACACAAACACACACAGAAACCCGTCAAGCAATAAATATAAAGAAATACGTTTTTACAACGCATTAGAATGCATATTTTTCGAAAGGTATATTTATCAAAGCAAAATGCACAGAAGCACTCACATTTATATACTAGTAGTTTTAGACCTTATAACTAATTTACCTAATAAATATATAGTAATATATGCAAACAAATCTTGTATACAGATACCATTGTATAATATATATCTTTCGTTCTTATTTACGTTAAAAGCGTATATTCCACATTAAAGTCGTTGTGCTTTGATAATGTTTTGATGAAGGTAGATTTAACTATGGTTAAAGCGTAGTTGTCATTCAAATAGATATTATGTCTAGTCTTGTATATCCATTTTTTCAGTCGCCTGTTGCACATCCTGCAGCTGCGCACGCAAATCCTCGGGCAAATTATGCTCGTTCAAGGCACTTGGATCCTCTCCATCGACGACAATCTCTTCGACATCTGGGGCACGTGGCAAAAATTCCACATCCGTGTATAGCTTACCAAAGATGACTCGGGCATTGGCAATGGCAGCATAATAATCCATCTCGTAGCTAGGCGCGTCTGTGTAGTAAACGGAATCATCTGCGCCACCTTTATCTGGTTGCGATTGCGAAGTAAGGGTAAAGTAAGAGCTGAATACGATTTCCGTATCGGCGTCCTGGAAAAGCTGCATTGTAAATGGCCTTAAATCGTCCGAAGGATCATCAGAAATAGCGGGCGTAGTCAGATGGAATAGGTCTGCAATTAATTAAGGTATAACGAATAGTTTAACTTTTAGTTAGCGATTGCTTCTTACACAATCCCTTCGGACAAGCTCCAGAAAAGTGCGAGAGCTGAATGAATATGGCTTCTCGGACTCCTTCGAAGTCCATCAGACGGAGGATATTAACGCCACCGCCGCCTTTATTGAGCACCTGATTGCCCAAAGGCTTGGAGGATAGAAACAAGCCGCGAGATAGATGAGGACGCATCGCGTAGTCACGCGATGCTGGCAGATATCTAGGAGCAGAAACCACATGTTTCGCACGGAATGTTGTCCCGGCGCTACTTATTAAGACTTCATTTGAATTGGCATCTACGACACAGTCATCCACTGATCGTTGCAAGCAATAAATGCCCCCGTACACAGCGCACTGACGACAGAAGCTCTGGGGAAATTCCCCACACCCGTACATGGGATAAAGAAACGGCGTGTTGCCATAACGACCGAGGCTGCGGAGAAATCGCTGAGTGCGCAGCATTCCCTCCTCGAAGCTAGTGTTGGGGCCACACATGGCAATGGCCTGCATCACGCATGAGGAAATCTTCTCCGTCACGCGCTGCGCCTTCAGATACTCGAAAAACGTTCTGCCCCGAAAAGCCAGAGTATCCTCGTTGCACTTATCCTCGCCGTAGTCATTGCACGCATTCATAAATTTCATCAGCAATCGCTTCTCCACTATAGTCAACGAATTCGTATTGAAGATATCACTGCGCGAACAGGGTACGGCAACAATCTTTCCGTTCTGTTGCATACACACATTATCCACGGCACGGAACTCTGTATAGCGGCAAATGTTGGACTTGATAAGCAGCTGCACCAGCTCTCCAGCGGAGTAGAGTATGCGTGGGCAGAGATCAATGCAGAATCGACGCGACATGGCCAGCACTGTCTCCCGCGTCCATAGATGTCCATTCTCTACTTTCATCTCATCCGATTCTGACGTGGGTGTGGCAGCAGATTCGTCGTGCCAGGTGTAGCTTCCATTGCGTAGCGTCGAGTGTGGTGCAGCATCCCTGGCCAACAGACGAATCAGGTCTTCAACTCCTACTGAGCCCCAAACATTACCGTAGTAGTCATTGATGTCTAAATGGAGTACGGTCTTGCCCACACGACTGGCCGCCGCGGCAATGCAAGATTCAGTGAAGCCTGAAAAGGGCATCCAGATTTGTATGACTCATACCAACTTCAAGCTACAATCAATCGCTACCCAGCTTACCTGTGCCTATGACTATTAGGTCAAACTGCTCCGGCAAGTCATCCGCCATTATAAGAGGGCTTGTCCAGACACAAATTAACCGAAAGAAACGAAATACAAATTTTGTTTATAGTTTTTTTTTGGAAAATTTTCCGAAACCGAGGTAGTGTTGGTAAATCTTAAAAAAATGTGCATGTAACAGCTGTTTCTTTTAAAAATATTTTCAATTTATTTTTACGATACTTTATCATGTGAAATCAACAGGTGCACATAGATATGCACACACACACATACGCACGCTCTCTTATAGTGGTGGTTGTGTTTGGTATCATAGCAACGGGAAAACGGTAAACAAAAGCCGGAAAATTGTAGATCACAGAATGAGGGCTTCTTCGATATAGAAAAAAGGTTGTATTTGGGGAAATGTCTTTCGAGAAGATACTCTACAAATACGAGGATCCGCACGGCATCGGCGACGTCTACTTCATCTGGCAAAAGGCTTTGCTTGCGACTACTGGTACAGATGGGTCTGTGGCGCTGTACAATCGCCAGGGACAACTGGTACAGCGCATAATCCTCGCAGGGTAAGTCCAGCCCACGTAAAATGTATTCAAATATATTTATCTGTATGTATCACAATTATTGCATCAGGCTCTGTTCAGGATTTGCATGGGACAATGAGGGGGATCTGCTGGGAATCATCACCAGCGGCTCCCCGAACATTACTCTCTGGGACTATGGAACGCAGGAGAAGATCAGCGTTGAAACTGGACTGCGCGATCCCCTCACGTGCATTTTGTGGTCAAAACAGCACCAGCTGTTGGCCGTCGGCACGGGGCGAGGAAACTTGGCGATTTACAACCACCGCAGTGGAAAGCGTCCGACCCCAGTGCTGGGCAAGCACAGTAAGCGAATAACCTGCGGCGCCTGGTCGGCACAGAATCTGCTCGCGCTTGGCTCGGAGGACAAAAGCTTTTCGTTAAGCAACGAAGATGGGGACACCGTGCGTGTGGTCCAGCTGCGGGATGCACCCACCGATATGTATTTCGCTGAAATGGCGAATGATGATCGGATTGCTGGGGACAATGCAATCAGCATGATCATTGGAAAGCGAACCTTGTTTCTCTACTACTTACCAGATCCGGAAAATCCCACAGAGCTGGGCTTTCAGAGTCGCTACGGCTCACTGCTGCAGCACAAATGGTTCGGGGACGGCTATATATTGCTGGGATTCTCCAACGGCCATGTGGTGGCCATTTCCACCCACCCCAAGGACGTGGGACAGGAGCTTTGGCAGGTGAAGAATCATAAGGACACGCTGACGGGCTTGGCGTATTGCCCGACATTGGATATCGTGGCTTCTTGTGGAGATGACAGGTGAGTCAATGACTTAATGGCTAAATATAAATAATAATTCCATCCTACGGTCGTCTGTCAGCAGCATAAAGATACACTCGATTACAAATCTGCAAGAAACCGAGCGCATCATCACTGTGCCAGATCATGCTGGCGTCCAAATGATCGACTGGTCACCGGATGGTCAACTGCTGGCAGTAACAACTAATAGTGGCACCGTCTATATCTATGTAACCAAACTCCCTCAAATATTTGCCGTCTCCGCCCCGCGGATCGTTATGCTCAGCAGCCTGGCAGAGGTTTCCATTTATGTGTATGCGCCGGACAAGTCCAAGCCACTGCCCTTTCGGTTGCCCCTGGAGGGAGAGCCTACTTTTATAGCTGTTGGCCCCTATAACTTCGCTGCTGGGATCGACAAGCATGTTTGGTTCTACTCTCTGGGAATGTCATTGGGGGAAGAGCCTCGTCCGATGAGCGAGCGAGACTTCCCGCGTAATGTGTCAAGTATGAAGATGAATGCTGAGTACTGTGCAGCCCTCTGTCCACCTCAGTTGATCCTGCAGGCTATCACTGCAGACAATCCAAATTGCAAGGACAAGCTTCAGGCGACTTTTCCCAGCGCCCTGCCGAACATGCCCAACGATGCAGTGATCACATGTTTTGCCTTGAGTCAGGAACTGTTGGTATTTGCAACCGATGTGAGTGTTGATCTTAGTCGGGTTTTATAGCTCACCCCCTACAGCTCTATGGAATGCTCTCTTTCAGATAGGACATCTAGTATTCTACTCGCTGGAAAAATGGGACAGTTGTACCATCTACCGGCATAGCATGGGTATTCGCCAGCTGTTTATGGACATTGAAGGAACTAAGATCGTTTTTATTGACGACCATGCTCAAGGATATCTTTTCCTACCCGCACTGGAGGAGGCCTTGCTCATACCGGAGATTCCAAAGCAGTGCCTCGGCTGCCTTTGGGATCTCACGCAGCCGAACATTTTCATTAGCTACGATGCCAGAATTGTGAACACCCACGTATTTGTACGCCATTCCGTGCAGGGCACTCACACCCACAAAGTGGGCGAGTCCAAGCTGAATCCTGGGCAATGGCCGCTGCTACTATGCGGCGGCGAAATGGCTCTCCACGTGGACGGCGGACAGTACGCTACGCAATCCCTCAGCACCCATGTGGTGAATCCTAGCAATAGCCAGGCGGCGAACCTCCAACTGCTTCTACGCCTCAGGAATTATGACGAGGCGTACAAGCTTTGCGATCAGATGAACTTGAGCAGCGCATGGCGAGAGTTTGGCGAACAGGCCACTGCTGATCTAGAGCCAGATATTGGTAAGATTACTGCACCCAACATACCCATGTAATCCACGGCATCTAACTATTCATTAGCGATTCGGGCCTATCGACGATTGGGCGACGCAGCTCTGGTAAATGCGTTGAGTGAGCTCCGATATGTGGAGGATCTGGACATGCTGATCGGCTGCTGCTGCACGATTTTGGCTCAGTACGAGCAGGCAAAGGAACATATGCTCAAGGGCGTATATACAAGAGCGGCTCTGGAACTGTGTAGAGACCTCCTCCAATGGGATCAGGCTCTTCTTCTGGCGCACAAGCACGACCCGCAAGAGGTGCCCTACATAGCGAGGGAATACGCGCAGCAGCTGGAATTCACGTATGCGATTTAGCTCAACAATCAAAAGTCATGATTACCACATTTTTATTTTGTTTTCCAGTGGTAACTATGCGGATGCCTTGTATCATTACGAGAAGGGTTACAAGGAGGATTTAATTAACGACAAGGATGCCGATCAGTCGGCTACGCTGGAAAGTACACCTGAGTTCGAGGAGCATGTACGTCTCTGCAAGATGGGCATTGCTCGAACTTCAATACGTGCCGGTGATTTTAGACGAGGCGTAAGACATTTTTTTCCGTGGGAAGCTAGTCAGAAAAGTTCATTCCTTGTCCTTCAATAGATTCAATATGCCGTGGAGCTCCTGGACAAGCAGCTCCTCTTCGACTGTGCGGAGTTATTGGCTACTGTCGGACATCTGACAGAGGCTGCGGGACTCTATGAGCGTGGAGGGTTTTACGATGAGGCCTGCGGCCACTACATTGCTCTGAAGATGTGGCATAAGGCCAACAATGTACTTTCCAAGGTGAAGAGCAGTAAATTGCATGCAGCCTATGCCAGGGCCAAGGAGAGTGACGGCCATTTCGAAGAAGCCATACGGTGTTATCGCATTGCCGGAGATTTGGATGCTTGCGTTAGGATTTACCTTGATCATTTGTGTGATCCGCATGCAGCCTCGGAAATTGTCTTAGAGTCACGATCGATGGACGCGGCCAAACTGCTGGCCAAGTTTTATCAGAAGATTGGAGATATTGAACAGGCTCTTCAGTTTCTCGTTATCTGTGGCTGTGTGGAGGAAGCATTTGCTCTGGCCCAGCGGCACAACAAGCTGCGCCGACATGGCGAACTCCTGGAACGCTATGAAAACGCGAAATCCTCCGACTATCTGGCCTTGGCTCACTACTTTGAAAGTGAGAAATATACATTGCAGGCTGGAAAGTATTACTTTTTGGCACGTGAGTTTACCAAGGCCTTGAGGTTTCTGCTAAAAGCCTCTGCGTTCAACAATGAGGAACAGCTGGCACTCTCCCTGGCAATTGACTGCGTGGCTACATCGAACAACGAGCAGCTTGCCTCGCAACTCATCGAGTTTCTCTTGGGTGAGGTGGACGGGGTTCCCAAAGATCCACGCTACCTCTTCCGCTTGTATATGGCTCGAAAGCACTATAAGGATGCGGCCAAGACAGCCGTGATAATTGCCAATCAGGAGCAGATCGCAGGAAACTACAAATCCGCCAGGGACCTCCTTTATTCAATGTATCAGGAACTGCGACGCAACAACCTATCTGTATCGGCCGAAATGCGGCACAACTTGATCCTGCTGCACCGTTACACGCTGGTCCGCATACATGTAAAGCTGGGTAATCATCTCCTGGCCGCCAAGCTGCTGGTGCAAGTGGCTGCTTGCATATCCCAGTTCCCAGAGCGTAAGAATGGATTTATTAGTATACATATATTGTGTGTTGATTGATAGTTTCATTGGCCTTTCAGATATTATACCCATTCTCACCTCCACGGTAATTGAGTGTCAGCGGGCGGGTCTCAAGAAGTCTGCGTTCACCTATGCCTCCACGTTGATGCGTCCGGACTATCGCAATCAACTGGATACTCGTTATGCAAAGAAAATTGAATCTGTGGTCCGCAAGGCTCCAAAGGGCATTAAGCAGTTGCGTGATGAGATAGACGATGAGACCATGGAGTGTCCCATATGCGACTCCAACTTGGCCAATATGGAAGTAACGTGCTACAGCTGCAAGACCACGCTACCCATCTGCATAGCTACGGGTCAGCACATCATCAAAACGCTCATGACCTCCTGCCCACAATGCGATTTTCTCTGCTTCCGTGCCGAGATGGAAAAGTGAGTTTAAACTGTGGTAAAGATCCAGTGCGGATTACTGTACTAATTCTTTCAGAATACTCTCTGAGAATGGCGAATGCCCCATGTGCGGGGAGCAAGTGGCTCCAGAGCAACTGCTGGATGTGGAGGACATACGTCCATACATCCTGGCGGCATCTTAAGATGGAATGAATACAGGACTTGAATAAACGAATAGACTGCACAGCACCACAGAACACCAAATAATAGATTTAAGTTGCAAGCACAAATCACACTTTATAAATCACAAGACGAAACGTGTATAAATAAATAAGCAGACGTTCCACTTAAAGTCTAGTGATCGAATACCAAACCCATATGGGCCGCTGTTCAGCCGAGATAAGATATAGTGTGTAGTACGAGTGATACAATTTTCTTTCGCAAAACACTCGAGGTAGAAATCGAGCAGAAATGTCCAGTAAAACACTATTTCTGGCGAGTATCGCCTAATCGTTTTTTACCACCACAAACTGAAAGACAGTTTATCATATATCTTTCTTAGTTGATTCGTTTGCGATATTTTTGTCGGGTCAAGTCTCGTATGCGAAATCATTTGCGAGCTTTTGGTTTGATGGGTTGTCGTTTTTTGGTATTTGTAGAACGCGTTAGTTCATTTTGAAAACGCCGTGACTAATTTGTTCCAGCTTGCGAATTTTGGTTTATTTTCATTCTAAATTCGTATTTTCCATTCCAAAAGCCTTGTGATATCAACTTTACGTCCCAACAGACCCTTTGTAAACGATTCTTGAGATGGCTGATTACGTCAAAGTTAATATATCCAACTCGCATAATGATGCCGTTGCATTCGAAGTAAAGCTCGCCAAAGACTTAACCATCGCTGCCCTAAAGGTACGTAGTGCCGGTGCATATGGAAACACATTTCCAGAAAATCGAACATTCTAGTGAAATTCAATTCACATGGTGGTTTCATTCTGCAGAGCAAGCTTGAAATATCGACAGGCGCGAGTGCTGGCACCATGAAAGTGGAACTGTACAAAGGCGATAAGCTTTTGGACACCCTGGATAACAACGATGCCCAGCTGGGATACTATGTCAACTGCGATGGCCTTCGCCTCCACGTAATTGATACCTTCGCCAGCTTCTGCTTTGACGCCCCAGTTGAGAAATTCGAGCTGAGCAAAGACCAGTACGACCAAAGATCAGACTCCGTGCGGAATTACCTGAAACAAAATCGCCTGGGGAAGTACAACGAGGAGGAAATGCAGCAGATTGAGGAGAAGAAACGACAGCAAGCGGAAGAGCTGCAAAGGCAGGCCGAGCTGTGTGTCCTTGATAAACGATGCGAGGTAATCGAGTTGAATAGGATCTCCCTAAGCACAATATATTGACTGCACTGCTTTTTCATGCTCTTCAGGTGACTGTGCAGGGCAATCCACGACGCCGTGGTACGGTCAAGTACAATGGACCACTTGAGGGGAAAAGTGGTATATTCATTGGAATACAGTATGATGAACCACTGGGAAAGAATAACGGAAGGTACCTACTCATCATGGAAACCTTTAAATCTAAAATGCCAACTTATGTCTTTCCGTTTTGCAGTGTCAATGGAAAAGTATACTTTGTGTGCCCTCCGAATTATGGCGGCTTCGTCTCACCGTTATCCGTGACTGTGGGTGATTTTCCACCAGAGGACTTCAACCTTGATGAGGAACTCTGAACATTTTTCCGATTTAGCTTTTGAATCTCGCATCGCACATCCCCACATTAACTGAAAGACTTAACAAAACGTATTTTAGTTATGCCATTTTATATTTATTAATTAAAACATCTATGTATGTATGTATATCAGATAATCTTACAACATGATTATTTGTAAATTCTATAATCGGCTTTATCATTTTTCTGATTTAATGGTGTTTTCAAACAATTCACATCTGTTTCTGTTTATATAATTCGAAGTTCACCCTTTTGTAGACAAAATAAATACCAGAAGTAAGAGAACGTTCTAAAATATTGTGCATATGACAATAGAACTGTCTGCAAATTGTTAAAGATCTCTTCTAGGTAGGGGAGCTTTCTACGTGAGGATATTTTCGGGCGTATATGTATTAAGCTGCTTGCTTTATATGTAGGCATATTTATGCTTGTATTATATACTTATGTGTGTGTTTGTGTATGCATGTATGTATTTTCTTTCTTAATCCTAATATTTATTCATAAATTGCAATCAGCTGTCGTTTAACAACAAATATATAAAACGTTGCATGTATTTACTCGAAGGTCTAGAAGTGTTTTAGAAATGCGTCACAATCATGATGGTTGCAAACTTTAAGTGTAACTATGTTTTGGTATTAATAGACTGATTTTGAGCCTCCACATACTTGTCAAATCAACTAAGATAAATGGTCGTCTTTTTCTACATCTCACTTGAGATCGGTTCTGCTTTAATAAAACCCATTTACTTCTCCACAACGCATAAAAGTCTGATTCAGAAATATTCAACAGTCGCATAGAGCCCAAGCCTAGCCTCTATCCTCTCTTTGGGTTATGCAAATAGAGTGAACTAAGTGGAAAATGTGTAAACAATTGGCCATAATTGCATCTGAGTTTTGCATATTTCATTTCTGAATGGTTGAGTAAATTTGACGCCTTAACAGTAATATACGTACATCTCTTGTCTGTGTTCTATGAACTGTTCAAATTGAATGAAATTAATCAAAATTTCAGGTATAAGTACCAATTTATCCCACCTACCATATTCGAGCAGGTCCTGACATTTTCAATAGATCCTGTTGGGCATTTCTCTTTCTGTTGAAGAAGAAAAACTTCGGCTTTCCGAACTGCAATCCGAGCATTGATACTTTATACTAATATACCTGATGCTGCCCTAAAGCTTTGCAAACAACGTTCATTAAAGTATGTATCTCTTAAAAATGAAACAACCCGAATTTGGATATCAGTGTATATTGTGTACTTTGATAATTTTTTTGCCAAGCAATTATTTTTACTGGATATCGACACATAAATGCAGTTTATAGAGCGTTGATTTGTTCTTGTTAATATTTATTATTATTGTTTTATTGAATTGTGTGTGTTTTTTGTCATGATTATATATATATACTTGTATTTTCTTGATTCTAGCCCATCGTCCGAAGGCCTTCTCTATGTTCCTATCAATTACTGTATTGTATGTAAATATGTGCGTATCTATGTGGGTTCTAATGCATTGTCAGTGTAGATACATATTTAGCAGAGCAGAGCTCGTCTACTCGATTGTTATACGAGAGCATGTACATAGTTGCTTATTCAATACGTTAGATCAATGAAGGACACTAACTTGTATTGTTTACTTGAGATTCTGTATAGAGTGTAGAGACCTTCAGTACGCATTGACCCAAATATTTAGCAAATATGCATACAATAGATACCTACAGACGTTTATACATTTCCCCTTCACATATCTAGAACTTTTTCGCATGCTACGACCCGGTTCCATTATATTTAGAGTGTTGTGGTGCGTAGCATTGCCACATGCGATTTGGTGTTTGGTTTTTCCTCAGCCTTGGCCGGTTGATGCTGTCCATGCTGTTCGGGTGGGACCTGTGACTCCTTTGATATTGTGCTTGTCCTAGTCGCACCTTTTTTTTCGGAGCCACCGTGCCTGAAGGCTGTTAGTTTGCGCACAATGAGGCTGCCCGTATGTTTGAGGTTCCTTTTTATTCGATTGCTTCCGCCGCTGCCGCTGCCACTGCAACTACTATCATCACCTCTGCCCTTCTGGCCACTGACACTGATGTCCGTAGATGTGGTCGTTGGACCTTTGTTTGCCGCTTTGATAGAATCATGCGTTTTATGTTCTACGCCATCGCCATCCTCCTCCAAAATTGCGTTTATCGCATTTAATTCACTGCAGAGGGGCAGCACAATTGAATCGCTGGGCTGCTCATCCATCCCCAGCGAGTCCTGATCGCGCACTATGCCGAGGCGTGCTGCCTGTATATCGTCGCCTGACTCCAGATTCTCCTTGGAGCTAAAGGGCGAGTACATTTGAAATGCCGAATGCAAGGATCCAGATTTTTTCGAGTCCTCGTTTCCCGCGCTAGACAGCCTGCTCTTCTTGCGCCGCTGGGAGCCATGCTGACTGGTCAGGGATCGGCACATAAGCGAAAGATCTGACAGCTTGCTGCTACCGTCATTGCTGGCCGTCCGACGGTAGTCAGTGGAGATGTTGTCGGCCTCAGTATCCCTGGCGGCAGCGGCGGCGGCGATCCCCTCATGGTTATTTTGCTTAAGTCACAGACGTAGGTCAAAAGCAATGCGAGACGCAATGTTCTTGAAACCAATGCTGGTGCCTGGGGAAATACGGGGAGAAGAAGGTGTTGCAGTAAGTATTCTGCTAGTGCCAGAACATCACTCCACACTCACCAGAGATCCGCTTGAAGCGCACCCCATTCAAGGAGAGTCGCGGCAGCTTGCACACTTCAATCTCCCACTGCACCAAGGAGTCCGTGTTGGGATCGCCATGCACGCACCAGAGAACAAACCTAGTCAATTCCAATTAGTTAATTCACAAACGCGATTATCCTCCTAATCTCTGTCCGGGTACTCACCTCTCTCGCTGCTCATAGTCGCAGTTGTTTTGATCCAGTACTTCGCGTATCTTTTGCATTATCTGATCGGGCATCAGGGGCGATGTTGTCTTCATGGACCAAGTAAAGCGCAACACACGAGGTTTCGCTGGCTCTTCCGTGGTTGATTGACTGAAATTAAATAACCGGTTTAGAATAACGAACTGTCTCGCCAACCACACAAAAATATTGAGGTTTATACATTTTCTGTGACAAGAATTAAGCGTATATGGCCTTTCAAATGCCGAGCTGTTTAGCTGAGATCTGAGTTTTTTACTAAAATGAAACTAATTTTAGGTATGTTCTAAGAATAAGCACCCCAAGACAGCTAGAAGGCTGCATTCCTTGCCAAAAGACTGATTTCTTAAACATGATTTTCCGTCATCAGATATTGGCAAATGCTCGTATCCAGAGTTGTCATTGTCAGTATGTAGAATTTTGCCAAACTAGGTCAGAAATAGCTCACTACATTGGATCAGAGCAATGCAAGTTAAAAATATATTCAATGTCACGCTTTTGCCTAGTCTATTTGGAGAGTGAAAAGACTCCTCACGGACAGCCGGACAATTCCCAATCTAAGTGTGTAACCCCTCCTATTTAGGGTCCTTTTAGTCGGACATTTGCACTTGTGCTAACTGGCCGCAGCTCAGGCTGCCGTCTGTGGAAAGATGTGTGGTGGGGGAGGGTTGATGGGGGATCCAGAAAATGCAAAATGCAGAAAAGAAATAAAATTGAAATGCGTGTAGAGGTTTCTTTGCTCACAAATGTTTCACATCATTTATTATGGATTTATTAAATTATCAATTGTTTTAATTATGCGTTATTTCTTTGAAACTTAATATTTAAAGATAACTACGGGTCGAGCCACTGAAGGTGTCCGACGATAACACGATTTATAGATAATCATCTGTACAAATAAAATGGTCGCATGCACTAGTGGTAATACATTGTTATTCCTTGAATTTAAGCTTAATTTGTTTAATTTCTGCCATTTTTATTTTTCTGTAGTGACTACGTGGTATGCTTAAAATGCTAAAAAAAACGCTGCCACTCTGCCCTCTGGGTCCCTGCACCCAGAGTTGTTCAGCTCTGGCGCAGTTGGTGGTCGCAGGGGGGTGATTTATGAATTGCAAGTTCGTTAGTTGGTTGGTTGGTTGGTTGGCTGGCTGGCTGGCTGGAGTGCTGGCTGGCTGGCTGAAGTCAGATTGTATGATCCACGGATACAATTTAGTGCAAGCTCAAATCGGAATACAAATACAGTCCATACATACAATACAAACATACATACATACAACTACAGATATCGCTAAATAAAAGTTAAGATCATGATCATACAGTAGTTACACAATTAGCAACTTCTTTTGGTGTTTTATTGATTTTACTTTCAGTTCAGCTTAGATCGGTTTAGATTTGGGTTTCAGTTTATTTTAGTTGAGTTCAGTTAAGGCTAACAACGTTCAGTGTACGTGTACTACTACTCTGTGTTACTCAGTTGCTCTGCACGTTTTCTCTCATGCTCACTTCATTGCGTGGTTCATTTCCGTGATTCCGTGACACCGTTATATCCGTTATAGATTCTATTTATGTGTAGTTTGGGTATAGTACTCGTAGGTGTAATATTTAGTAGTTGGTGTGATCCATAATCGTGATAATCGTAGTCAGGATTCTCTCTGATTATTGCATTATTACACGAGTGCTCGTATCGCCCCGCTTGCTTGCGTTTCTCATTGCAATTTCGTTTAATTTCATTTCATTCATTTATTTGTTCTGTTCTGTTCTTCCATGCGCTGGTCGCTCCTCGCATCGTTTTGCAAAACAATGAAAACAAAGGGTTCGTGGTTTGTGTTTGTTGTTGCTTTACTTTAAATATATATATGTATATGTATATGTACGTTTAATTTATATAAATGTATATGTATAATTAGTTAATAATTGTAATAAAACATAGGCGCATTTGTGAAATTTGCAACGCAATTAACGCAACGGAACTCAACGTTGTCGGTGTTCATTTGAGGGGCTGCTGGCTCGAAGCGGAACCAGGTTCGGAATCAAAATTGAAATCGAAAGCAGTAATCGTAGTCGATATTGTGTATCGGTATCGGTATTCGTATTCGTATCGGATCGGTATCGAAACGACGCGGAGCAAAATAACCCGATCCGATCTGAATCGACCTTATCTCTGTACTCTGTCTGTTCATATCATATCATATATCTCTCTCTGTACCTCTCCGTCACGCGCGTTTACTCTAGGGGAATCGTTTGTCTCAGTTTCAGTTTTAGAACTATTAACAAGAAGTAGTTAATGCTTGTTTTGTTAATTACTGGTTTGGCCTAAAATTAAAGAAAAAATTTTAAACAAATTATTCACGGCTGGAAAAAATATTAATAATGGGTAAAACAAATACCAGAAATGAAACCAAAGAAGACAGATAAGAATAAAACGGAATAATGGTAAAAGTTTTTGTTTTTGTTTGTTGTTTTGTTTTTTTTTTATGTTTCTTCGTACTAGAAAAAGAAAAGTAAACGCAATATTTCTTCAACAACTGATAAGTTCATTGTACATTTCACATTGTCTTTTTGTCTTTTAATTATCAACAATATTATTATCGTAATCGTAATTAAACTGATCATGTATTTAACAAATGAAGGAAAAGAGACGAGTACAAAGGAGAGCCTTCCTAGCGGTGTGGTGATTTAATGCAAGTACAGAGTCGTATAAAGCAAACGTGGATACGTGGATATACAGGATTGGTTTCGAAATATGTACTACAAAATATCGCATATGCATATAGTAT